GGACCCATCCCGCCCGGCCCACGCCCGACGCGGACCTTGTACTCCTGGCCCGCTGCTGGCCGGCTCGTCGCGCCCGCGAGAGGAGTGATGCCGTCGGAGAAGAAGAAGAAGTAGTACTCGGAGTCGGGGGACTTGTAGGTGAAGCCGCCTTCGGCTGGGCGGCCGCTGTTGCCGGCGAGGTGGGTGCCGGGGAGGGCGGAGGCTTGGGTCTCGACGTCGGGCCATAGGCCGATCTGGTAGATGCCGTTCCAGTAGGAGCCGAAGGAGAGCTTGAGGCCGTTCCAGTCGACGAGGTTGGGGTCGACTGGGTATGTACTTGTGAGTTCATGGTGGATGAAGGGACCGTGGGGTGTACTCACTGGCGTTGTATACATCGCCCGTCTTCGAGCTGATGACCTCGCCGTGGTCCGTCCAGGTACCAGGCTCCATGGACGGGGAAGTGGCAACACCGATGGCAGAGTTCTGGCTTCCGATGGTAGAAACGGAGTAGTACAGGACATACTCGCCGTTGATGTCTGAACAAGATCAGTACATGTCAGTGGGAGTCTTGCAGAAGAGACACGTACAGTTGACATCCGGTGCCCAGAGAACGCAGTTGCCTGCGATGTTGATCTTGGAACAGTTAGGGATGGCCGATCCGACGTTGGTCCAAGGGCTGAGCAGAGCGTCAGACCATGGACGCAAGAGCAAGATGAGCGTATTGCTTACCCAGTCAACGCAGTGGACGTGAAGATAGAAATCTTATTGTCCGTCGAGAAGACATAGTATTTCTGATGGATGGTCAACTATAGCTCAAATGGACTGCTGAAGCGCGCTCTTACCTTCGTCGCAGAGTTGTACCAGATGGCAGGGTCACGAAGTTGAATGCTGGCTGTTGCTTTTCAGCAGGAATATTAGACGCGTTGACTATGGGCACTCACAACTACCAGCGATCGGGTTCGGCGTAGCAAGCGCAGTGAGCGCGAAGAGGGTCTGCGCAAGCGCCGCGAACTTGATAGAGAGGGAGAACTTCATAGCGTTGGCCGAAGTTGACGAGAGGCTATGCCAAACTGCAGTGCTGAAGGAGAGCCGCAGGTGCCGACAAACATAAGTCTCCGATTTTATACCCAGCCCACTGGGCGGGTACGGTGATTGCAGATCGCAGAAGTCAATATTGGGTCACCAGGACGCATGAGGTGCGTGGATCATTGTCATGATGTTGCCCGTCGCGCGTGCAACGACTGAATGGGGTCTACGGGTGCATGGCATGCGCACTCGGCAGGGAAATAGTGCGCCGCCGTACCCATGCGTGCGCCAAGAATCGCGACTTCAGCGTCGTAGAAGGCGAGCTTTGATGTGCGTAGCGTGCTGTGCTCTTTGATCAGAGGGAGTAGCGCAGGCACAACTTTCAGTCACAGTGAGAACTGTGAGACACCACTTGAGACATAATGTCGCTCGCTGCTCGCTCGACGAGCAAGGTAGTCGCAGGGGACGGGGCTTGGAGGGTTGTGAACGTTCGTGGCCTCAATGGCCGGCTACGCCATAAGGCAGGAGGCAAGGGTAAAGATGACCTGTGATGGCTGCCTTCTCTCTGGTCTTGGCTCGGGCAAGAGCATGGTGGTGGTAACGAGAAAGAGGACGGACACTTTCACGCATCACCGCGCGGTCGTCCGCTGATCTCCGAGCTCGAGAGGCGCCCTGGATCACCGGACCGAGTCTCCCCACAGGCTCGTCCCACCGCCGATGCAGCTCTGGAGAGTAACCCATCATGCTCTTCTCGCCGATCCATCTGTAGGGATGTTAGACTCTCTTGATGTAGTATGTACACGCTGGGTGAACGCCTCAAGCACTTCTTATCACCACGGTCCGCATGCTTGCTGCTCTATGCCAACCCGAACCAAACCCGACCCTTTCTCAAGCGTGATGCTCTTCCTTTTACGCTTACTCGGCAAAGCAAGTGAGGTTCCTGCAGGTACATCACTGTCCTGAGCTTCTACACTTCATCGGCAACATCGCAGCGTATCAGTACTTACCGTAAGCCTTATGCCAATCACCGACTTATCTCCTCGACGCGGGGTGTATATGATCCCAGTACAGAATGGTCCACCTCGGCGGTGACCTGAGCTCAAAGGGCCGCATTCAAGTGGGCCTGGTTGTACTCACTAGAAAGCACGGGTCAGACCCACAAGCATAAGCAAATATGATAACGCTGGAGAGAAGGGATGCCTCCGAGTCTGCGGTCCGATATCGATAGAGCAAGCATACGCTTTCAGTATCTCATGGATTCAGACTGGGCTCCGGAATGTATTGCTCACAAAGCAGAGTCAGGCTAATCCCACCGAGGGCGTAGAATTGACGCCAATGTAATTGATATAAACCGCTGGTGCAGGACCGACGTCGCCGTGCAGGTCCAAAACAGACTTGACACCAACAGCGAGAACACTGGAGGCACGCCTCACTTCTCCGATCCAGAACATGGTAAAACCATGAGTGAATTATGGACAAAGAAGCATTTGTCCATAAGTTTACCATGTTCTGGATGAAAGTCACCGTGTTCCGGGTCAGAAAAGTGACCGGTGCGGCCTCAAGTGGAAGTGGTGTCATCAACGTGCTATTTGAAAAGAAAAGATTTGGTATTAAGCAGTAGTTAAACATGGGCACATGGTGTAGTTGGTTTATCACGCTCGCTTAGCATGCGAGAGGTGT